TTGTGCTATACATGAAGTAATCAAAGAAAGATGATAGGATATTAACATCCATGAAAATGTATAAGAGCTTAATTGGCTTAATTCCATATTTAATTTCTTTACTCAATTTGGCTACATTGTGCTTAATAGTGACCTTGGCAAGAACATTTTGATGAAGTGACAGAGTCAATTTGTGGGGTTACAGACTCAGTGTCACTTTCTTCATTGATTGGTTCAAGATTGGAAGGCACGGTGAGAAGTTGGGCATTATCCAGAGGAAGATGAAGAGATGGGGACCACAGATCTGCTGTTTGCTCCCTGTCATGAGTGACTCAAAAAACATACAAGCAAAAATCAATGGGGAATCAGGAATTGTAAAGTTGGGATTAAGTGAAGCCTCTATACTGACCTTACTCAGAATGACAATTGAATTTAGGGTGTAATAAATAGATAGGACAAACTCCAAAGTCCTTAGTGAGTATATGGCAAAGATGGAGAAGTCAGTAACCAAGGTGGGCAAGCAAGCAGTTTATGAGTTCATTTTAATAGTGTGGTTAGATAGATATATAACTTGCTTCCTTTTTGTTTTTATTGCTTTTTTTTTTTTTTTTTTTTTTTTTTTTTTTTGTATTTGAGAGAAGATCTTGCCAAACAGCATAGACTGGGCTGGAACTTGCTGTGTTGCCCAGGCTGGCCTTACACTCTCAGTCCTCTAGTTACAATATTGAGATTTCAGATGCAAGCCACTGTTCTGCTGATAACATATTCAAAAATTAATTTAATATATGTACACATGTGTGTATGTTTTCTCTTTGTGTATGGGCATGCATGTATCCAACTGCTTGTGGAGATCAGAGGACAACTTTTGGGAGTAAGATCTCTCTTCATCTGTGAGTTCCAGGGATTGAGCTAGGATTTTCAGACTTTTTTTTCAGATTTTTTTTTTTTTCTGTGAAGAGACACCATGACCACAGCAACTCTTATAAAGAAAACATTTAATTGGAGTGGTTCTCATAGTTTCAAAGGTTCAGTCCATTATCATCATGATGGAGAGCATGGTAGTGTGCAGGCAAATGTGGTGCTGAAGTAGTAGCTGAGAGTCCTATATTTTGCAGGCAACAGGAAATCGACTTAGACCCTTGGTGGCATCCTGAGCATAGGAAACCTCAAAGCCTCTCCTCACAGTGACACATTTCCTCCAGCAAGGTCACACCCACTCCAACAAAGCTATAGCTCCTAATAGCGGCCTGTAAGATTATGGGGGACAATTACATTCAAATACCACAGTCAGCAAGCACTTTTGCCTACTGAACCAACTTATTACTGGCATGATGGCACACACTTCTACAAAAAGGAATTTTTAAGATTTATTTTTATTAATTTCAATTATATGTGTTTATGTGTGCTTGTTTGTGGTTATGTGCATGTTTGTGCAAGTGTCAATGGGGGCCAGATTGTTGAAACTCCTTAAAGCCTGACTTACATGTGCTTGTTAGAAACCTGACACAGGTACTGGGAACCAAGCTCAGACCCTCTGCAAGAGCAATATGTGCTCTCAACCACTGAGCTATATCTCTAGCTCATAAATGTGTGTGTGTGTGTGTGTATACTCTGAGTCATAATTTCAAGGGTTGCCATTCCTTTACCTTCTGTATTTGTGTGGAACATGGAGTAATGGGGAGAGTTTTTAGGATGGCAAGAGTTTCCTTATTTTGTATTGAAGGTGAGAATGGTGGTGAGAGTTGGGGGAGGACACATGTGGGAAGAACACATGGAGGCAGAGATGTAGAGGAGAATGAGATGACTTGGGTGTGAGATTGTACGCACAGCCTGCATTTAGATCTACTGGGCTGAGCATCAAGTGACAGCTCAGTCCCAAGGCTTGTAAAGCCACATACTCTGATAGTAGAGAGAGTAATAATGGAAAGAGTCCATTTCCATCTCTGAGAAATACCAGGTAGATAGGATTGATGGATCCCATGATTTAGAAGTTTGAAAAAGCACCAGTTTTATATGTATAAAAGATAATAATTTCTAAATGGAGCCAAATACAGACTAAATTGGTTTAGATTCTGTTTAAAAAACTCTAAAGCTTTTACATTAATGTTGGAAAAGTAGCATTAAAGAGCTGGCAGACATTTCTATACAGGCAATGATAAATGATTTCTTAGCATCATCTCAAACATGACAGAATATTCTTCTTGATTCTGTCCTCCTCCTGGGCATCCACAGTGTCAGTCTGTCTCCTGTTAGAACTGTAAAGGTGCTATCCCATCAAAGAGGAATGCACTAAGTATTACACACCTAATTGTAACAGGAATCTTAAAAGTTCTTATTAATAAAAACAAGCCTGAGGCCAGTTATTGGGGTGAATGCTGGAAGATCAGAGAAGCAGAACAAGCCACAGCCTCACCTCGCCAGTTCCTCAGCTGGTCCTGTTTCCTCAGACTGGAAGCCTCTAAGTCTTCATCCAGAATAAATCTCAGCTCAACTGCTGCTTGAAGCCTGAAAGCTTAACCAGCCAAAATGCTTAACCAGCCAAATGCTTCTAGTTTCTGGTCTTCACCCCTTATATATCTTTCAGTTTTTGCCATTGCTCCCTGGGATTAAAGGCTCACTTCTTGGGATTAAAGGCGTGTGTCACCATGCCTGGCTGTTTCCAATGTGGCCTTGAACTCACAGAGATCCAGAGGGATTTCTACCTCTGTAATGCTAGGATTAAAGGTGTGAGTGCCACCATTTTCTAGCCTTTGTATCTAGTGGCTGTTCTGTCTCTGACCCCAGATAAGTTTATTAGGGTGCACAATATTTTGGAGAACACAATACCACCACACCTAATAGTGTAATAACTGGGGCCTGAGCATCCCTTCTCTCTTAAAAAACTCTTTTGCTTGGGGTTAGCAAAATAACGAGGTCTGGAGTTTAGTTCCCAGCACTTCCTGTGATTCTACATCTAGGGGATCTGTGATGCCCTCTTCTGGACATGTTGGGTGCTGCACTCACATAGACATGCCTTGCCATATGCATACTTAAATGCAGAAATAAAATCTTTAAAGAAGAAAGATAGCCTTTGGCCACTTGCGAAAATATTTTCCTTTACACAACCCCCTTCATTTTAGTGTTCCTCTGTCTTATCTTTCATTAATTTGTGAATTCTCTTCCACTTTCAAAGAAAATAAGATCAAAGCAAAACAAACGTGTGAATAAGTTTTTTCTTATTTCACAGATAGCAATTTAGTGTTTTCCTTTTATCTGAGATAAAATTTCTGTTTTTATCTCTTCTAATAACATCATAATCATTGCATAAAATATCTCTCTTGAAAAAGGCTCATTTGCTTAGGGAATATGTAAGTAAATCACCTATTCTATTTGCTTTTGATTTTACAAATAATAAGACTGCAGTTTTCACTACTGTCTGAGACCAAAACTCTTTTGTGCATGAAAACATGCCCTTTGGAACTATAATATAGAAACAAAAACAAAAACAGGCAAACAAACAAAAAAAACCCACAAAGCTATCAGTCCAGTTTGTCTCTCAGACTGTCCAAAGTATCACTTTTAGTTTGGGTTTTATTTCTGTTACTACTGTCTTGGCAATATAAGTTGGGGTATTCTGTTTTCTGAGAATAAAAATCTTGTGTGTTTTCATTGATTTTGACTTAATGTATAAGGTTGTGCTTAAGCACTGACAAATAAATATTGAACTACTACTGTGCCTTAGGAAACAAACTGAAAGGTTGTATATAGGTGGGAAAGCCAGGTGACACAGATAACACATGCAGGAATCAGAAATGAATACAATACTTTTGAAACTGGCATTTCCAATGAGTTATGGGGCTGACTGTAACAGCAAGGTTCTCTTTAGGTCTCCTCATGGTAGTCACTGCATATTGATTGCCTAGCTTATGGAGCACCTGAGAAGTTTTTGTCTGAAATATTGTTTCACTAAATGTCGATCTTTTGTGTTCAGTAACTGGGCTCTTACACTTTGTGGAATCAAATATTTTAAACTTAAAATTGTGTCTGAAGTATTATTGTGTGTATATGATGAGTTTGTATATGTGTGTGTGTGAGAGAGAGAGCGAGAGCGAGAGCGAGAGCAGGGGTGGGGGAGAGAGAGAGAGAGAGAGAGAGAGCATGCATGCATGCATGCCACAGTGCATGTATGAAGGCCAGAGGACAACTCTGAGGAGCCAGTTCTCTCTTGCTACCCTTATATAGATTGTCATCAGTCTTGCACGGCAAGCACCTTTACCCACTGAGCTTCCAGCCTTAATTTTCATATGTTTTAAAATCACATTTCTACATTTAATAACAATTCAGCTACTAAGACTCCAGAGCAGTTCCAAAATTATTCTTTTCTTTTTCCCAAAATTACTTTATACTGTAAAAAAATATGTCTTTAAAATAGCACAAATCCACTCCAAGCTTAAATGAAAGCTATTAAGTATATCTGAATACTAAGCTTACTCCTTGTTCTGAAGTGCTTAATATTCTAGTTAGGTAAATCGTGCTACAGAGTTACAGTTAAACAGGGCACCTGCCCACCTGATAAGAGAATGCCAAATTGCCTTGGGCAATAAGTACTCTTGTTACTGCCAGGACTACTTCTCTTCATAACATACTAAATAAAATTTTCTTTGTTTTTGCATAGTCTTTAAAAAAAGAAAAGAAAGGAAAAGCTGGGTATGGTGACACACACCTTTAATCCCAGCATTTGGGAGGCAGAGTTAGGTGGATTTCTATGAGTTTGAGGCCAGTCTGGTCTACAATGCAGGTTCCAGGACAGCCAAGGCAATGAAGAGAAACCCTATCTTGAAAAACCAAAAAGAGAAAATTTATTAAATATTTTATGTGTATTTCTTTTTAGCTATTTTCCTCAGTGGCATTGAAAATATCATGAGGTCAGCCAACCTTCAGTTTAATTTTAACCCATTCTATACCTAATTTATATCCCAGGGACTCTTAAGGAGAAAATAAGTTTTTCTGCATCAATTTAATTAAATCAATTCAATTAGTTCTTTCATTCAACAAATATTTATTAAGCACCTACAATATGCCAGGCACTGTGCTGGGTGCTGGGGATACACTGTGAACGAGATAGACACAGTCCCTGCCCTCAAGGAGCTGACAGTCTAGTAGTTTACAGACAAGTACATAGGCAATTACAATGCAGTATGATGAGTGCCGTGATGGGTAAGAACATTAAGAATGGCACGTAACTCAGCGTCATAGGCAGAGCTAGTGGATAATCATGGAAATCTTCCCAGTACAAATAAAATCGAGTGCTGAAGGATGAGTGACAGTTGGGCAAAGACAGAAGAGCTGCAGACTGAAGAAATGGGAGATGCAGTGTTCTGTGTGCTGTGGAGGTCCATTTGCTGGCTGAGAAAGTTGGGTAGGAGTAAGAGAAAAAGATATCAGGGCGGGCCCAGATTGTGAAAGGAATCATTTGCTCAGTAACAGAGAATTAACCTTTCTTGAGGGACACTGTGTACATGTGTTATATGAATTACATTGCAGTGATGCACAGTTATTAAATGAGAATTATAAGGGCTAAAGGGAAGGAAATCAATCTCCATATTTCTGCTAGAGCTTCCATGGTGTCACACCCTGTGCCCTCACCAGGCCACCTTGCTGCACAAGCTCTGTACGCAGGCACTGACAAAAGGCTCTTACCATCACCTCCTCCTGTGAAAACTCAACTCAACCTTCAAGGCCACACTTGAGGAATCATCCTAACTTGTGCTTTCTGCAAAGATTCCTCAGTCCGTGATTTTTATCTGTACCATTGAACTTATTCATCATTTCAAATGAAGCAGATTTTTTGAACCATAAGTGTTTTGTTTTCTTAAAAATAGACATGGTACAAATTTTTTCACAATTTCTGGGTAAAAATAAGCATTCAGCTTTCAGCTGTGGTCTACCCCAAACAATTATCAGTGCCTTCAAAGAATCCAAATGGAAGTATAGGAATGAGGTTGATAGTCCAAGAGACACTGAAGTCTATGCAGCAAAATAGAGTCAAGTAAAATTTCCACACAGGTGTATTGTTGTCAGAGCAGCTGCTCGCTCCCAGACTCAAAGTCTCCATCTTTGACAACTTGATCTATTAACAAATGAACCCAAGGTCTGTAAAGGAAGGGATCATAGTATGCGGACATAATGACAAACTACACTTTCTGACATGGCCTATCCCTTGACTTCTATATCTCTCATGGGGTCTTTGAATTTCTCAAATAACTTGCACAATCATAGGGAAAAGATTTAAGTTCTGTTGATAGATACTGTAAGAAAAACTCTTGTTTTATTCTTTGGGGTGGGTACAAAAACCACAATTTTGTACACAGAACAGGATTATAAATTATATTGATAACATGAGTGACCCGTAGTCTTTTTTTTAATTCTACATTGCGGATGGATGACTTCATGTCAACATTTTCTTCACTTTTTTCTTTTTGTTCCTGATAGACAAACACAATCTATGTACCAACTTGTGTGACAGAGTGAAGGTTACAGGAAACAAAGTGACCAACAACTTTTACATTAAAAAAAGTCTCTGAAGTTTGTTACAGTGATGACATTTATATCAATTATTGCAATGTATTGTTCCCTAAGATGGTTAGAAAAAAGAATTGTGTTGTCCTCTACCGGATTGACTTCAGTTAAAAAGCAAGCATGTTTCAGTATTGTTTTATTTCCAAAGTAACTGTAAATACTTTCTTTAAATTTTGTTGGTTGTTTTCACAGGATTTACATGTTAATTATTTCCTTATCACATTTTAGTGACTGCTTGTCTCAGCTGCAGATTATTCCATCGACTACAAGGATGTTCTGGAGACACAGGCTAGCAGGTCCCGTGACCTCTGTTAACTGTTGAATCCCTCGCTGTGGTGACCAAGGCCTTTCTGAGAAAGAACTTCACAGTTGAATGCTGTAACTGGCCAGTCTGATTAGTTTTAATTGCGCTCAAGTGAAATTTGTTGCTGTTAATACACCCATCCCAGACACCCCCCACCCACTCGCCCCCAAAAAACTAAATTGTGAGTTTTCCTGATATAAAATCCAAGTCTGAATATCCGTGCTGAACTCATGCACTGGTTCTGTCCGGCACTCAGAACATCCTTCCTGTTCTCAGCCAAAGGATGGGTTAATCCAAGACCCACGCTGGGCCTGTCCCTCCGGACTGCATTTCCATCAGTCACCAACACAGTTTAATTAAGGCACTCAATTATATTTTTGGTTTTTATGGTAGGTCCGATGCAATGACAGCCAATCCCGAACTTTGTCTAATTGCAGTTCCTGTGTGTACGGCCTTGGGGCAGTCGGGGGTCAGCACACGGCCGTTTTCTCCCACACTCCCAGTGATGGATAACCTGGCTTTGTTTCTTATGGCTTCAGAAAAAGTCAGCTGGGTTGCATGAAAAGGAAACAGAGAGGATGCTGGGTGTTATGATATTTCTGTTGCTGCAACAAAATGTGGCACATCAAACACCAAAATATCGATAATTAGACATCTGCATTTTTTTTCCTTGTGATTTTTGGTCATAGGCAAATTGCTTATACGGGAAAGGAAAGCTCAGACACAACAGGAGATGAATTAATCAGCCTAGAGTTTTAGGTCCTACATATTTAAAAGCTGTTTGTAAGATCATAAAATCTTTTTTTTTTTTTTTTTTAAGCAAATCTGGGTAGGAAGAACCTTTTCACTTATTGGTCTCTATACCGTAGTACTTCTAAAGAAGCTTCTCTTGCATTTGATGGACGTTCTATAAACCACAGTATTTTCTTGCTAGGTGTTTTCTTTCTGGTGCAAGGAATGGTTTCTTAAATCATGACAAACTGCTAAACCATAAACACACAAATTTCCTGTTTTCCTTGCACAGACCTATCCACACACTTTCATTCATTCACATGAGTTACAGACATGACTCAGAACAGCACGTTAGTGACACATAGTTCACTATATGCCTGTCAGGAATCAAGGCTCACTTGTAAGATTTATGCTTTAAGGAGATGCCTTGAAAGTAGGCATATTTGACAATGCACAGAATGGAACGGGGTCTTCTGGACCTGAAGGAAGGGTGGCCAGTCTCTAAACACTCATTGAATCTTTATTTCCTGACTTCTCTGGTAGCAGAAGATAACACTATGTAGAGGAGAAGCCAGCTCTGTGATCATGTAAATCTGACTACTGTTTACTGTTTACTGCCTCCAAATCCTTCCTAGCAAATAAATCCCAGTGTTAATAAGAGGAAAATATGGTAAAAGCGATGTCCCTACTTCTTTGCAACTCATAATGTATTTGTTTATTGAGAACTCAATTTTATCTAATTCCTTAAGAAACTGCATTCTAGTGTTTGATATGCTCTGGAAATTAAATATTTGGCTGATTTTATATTAATGAAATTCATTATTTTATTAAAAGCTGTTTGGAGTAAAAATGCTTGAAATCATTCACCCTAATGACAACAAAAAGTTGAACTCAAATTGTGTGTATTGACTTAACTATGATTAAAATAAAAGGTGAATCTAACAGTAGTCAAAATGACTGAAGTAAAAACTGAATGTATATTTTCATAATACTGACTTAGGGTGTGACTTTATAGAAACATTAATAGCGTTTGAATTTAGAATAATTTGGCATATACTGAATATAAGTTGTATAAAATAAAATAATAAGGAAACATACTGTACATTTTTAAAAATTGTACAGAAACTGAAATTCAGTATACTAGCAAGGAAGCTAGAAGTGGAAGCATAAAAACATGTGAATGAGCTGGACATGGTGGCACACTCCTGTAGTCCCAGCACTCAGGAGGCAGAGGCAGACAGATCTCCGAGTTCAAGGCCAGCCTGGACTACAGAGTGAGTTCCAGGACAGCCAGGGCTACACAGAGAAACCCAGTCTCAACAAAACCAAACAAAAACAAAAAACCACCTAACAAACAAACAAACACGTAAGGAACCGTCCTTCAAGGCCCCCATTGGCCATGCCAGTCTCAACTGGGAACTCAGAAGTGGTGGATTGAACTGCAAGGAATCTTACTTTGACAAGGAAGACTTGTGAGACTCTTAGAGAGTAAGTACTTTGGTATGGTTATAACTAAAAACCCACCAACAGACCAGCATTGTTTGCATCAAGAAAATGTAACAAAAACATTTTATTTATGAAATATAAGCCAGGATTTAGGATTAGAGTTTCTACAAAACTTTCTAATGTAATTTTTCCTTTGATGGTTGAGTGTTTTTAGTGGATTTAAAAAATAAGAACCCGTTAGTAGATATCTAGCTGTTTGGAACACAGTAGCTTTTAGAGGAAATATTTTGGAGCTTGGATTGAATTAATTCAGATGGTAAAGAAAATAGGACACAAGACTGTGAGTTCAAACAAGCCAGTGTGTGTGTGTGTGTGTGTGTGTGTGTGTGTATCTGTGTGTGTGTGTGTGTGTGTGTGTGTGTGTGTGTGTGTGTGTGTCCACAGAGCTTTTTAGAAAAGGGTATCAGAACCTCTGAAGCTGGGGTAATAGGTATCTGTGAGCCATCTGATGTAGGCACTGGGAACTGAGTGTTGGTACTGCATTAGAGCCCTCCAAACATCTGTGCATTGCTCTGGCCCCTAGCCACATTTCTAAGTAGATCTTCTATGTATTAACTTTCCAGAGTTTGATTTTGGAGATTCTGGATGGTATCTAAATTAACAACCATTAATTATAGTCAGTAGAGTCCCATCTTTCTTTCTTTTTTTCTTTTTTTTTTTCAAGACAGAGTCTCTGTCCATAGTCAAACCTAGCCTAAAATTTGCAGATTCCACTTGTCTCAGTGTTTCAAATGCTAGGATTCTAGCCATGACTGGCCATGTCAGTCTCTACAAAGTTTTTAAAAGAGAAAAAAAAATAATTTTGACAGTAAAATAAAAATTGTTTACTCTCAAGTCTTTGCTGCAGGTACAAATTATTTTTGTTTACTCTAAATACTACCGTTTTCAAAGTAAAAAATTACCTGACTATGAACACTTTGTCTATGTTTAAAATATATTTTTTAAATGGTCAAATTTAGCCTTAAAGGTGATAACATATGATTAACTTCAATGACAGGCTTCAACTAAAACACATTATGATGTAAAAATTCTATGTACCTAACCTGGTACAATTAACAATTTACCACTCTTTTGTAATAAATGACATTCATTGGTATTTCTTTATAAAATTTTGAATATTGCTTCTCTATCTTGGATTTATCAAATGATTGGAATGAACAAGAAACTCAGTTTTAGTAACACAAAAAATAGGATGCATTATGAAATTGATATCAGAATTCATTCCAAATAACACAGGTCAGATCATTTTCTTCCATTTGGGAAATCTCTCTTCAGCTCAGTAAAAATTAAGATAAAAGCATTGTCTTAATGGCCATCAACCTTGACACAGTCTCAATTTATTTCTGTGAATTTTCAAATAATTTCTCCCAAATTTCCTAATGATATCAGAAGAAGTGCTCATTGTGCTTTTATTAGAGTGAACTGAGGGCTTAGTTTTATATTTTTCAGAAAACTGAGGGCCAACCAGCTGGAGCTGTCACTGTCTAAGTGTGTTTGACCATAGGTTTCTAGAAGGCAGGAGAAGCTGCTAAGTCTTCATCACGGGTGGCTTCTTTCTTTCCTTTCAGAAAGTAGCACACACTTCAGAAGTTTCTTTTGACAATAAATATCAAATCAACCACATTTTCTGCCACAACCTCAAATGTACATATTACTAAACTGTATATTTTTGTCTTGACTTTCAGCTGTCTCAAGTCCTGGCTGTCTCTTGAGGGCTCAAAAACTCATTTATCATGTAATTAAAACAAATAGCTGGTTCACTAGGCTACTATATGTAATTTTAGAAAATGGTTTTGTTATAATTCTTTGTTTTGTAGCCTGACTTTAGAAGAGCAATACTAAATTCATTAAGGTCTTATTTTAAAACCACCTTTGATCATTAGAGGAAAGAAGTGGATGTTTAGATTCTGAAAAAGTTAACTTTCATCTGTACTTCCCTGAATGCATATCATTTTTACTGTGACATGAGGGGAGTGTATAAATGTGACTGGTGTGGCTTTTTAAAAAGGAACCAAAGTGGAAAAATGAGAAAAATGCATAAAAACTGACTGCAATGTTTCATATATATATATATCCAACACCTTGGATGGAGAAGTGCTGGGCTGTCTAGAATGCCTTAGTAATAAGTAACCTTGTATAAGTTGAATCTCATTTAATAAAGGTGTATCATAGCCCTACTGGGCTGGCTTGAGGACTACTGTTAGATGAACAAACAATAGAGATTAATGCTTTTAAATATAGAAAGATGACTGGCAAATGGAATACATGTTAGATTAGGAGCTAAAATTCATGCAGTCCTTACTATGTGGTGGTTCCTTTATATGTATTATTTCTTTAGAAAACAATGTAACCTTATCAAAACCAGGCAACTCCCTAGGTTTTTGATCAATTAAAGTATGTTTTACTCTTATTTTCTTAGCATTTATGAGTTGTCATAGAAATTTGGCTTGTCTATGTTTAGGAAAGCTTGGATATAATTTAAAATTCCCCTGATTTTGGGGAAATCATACTGTTTACATCATTTTGTGGAACAATTCTAATTTTTCATATTTCTGGTCAATTCAATGCAGATATCTATTAGCAACATAAAGTTTCAAACAGAACATCTGCAGCCAACAAAAACGGAATCACTGTGCACTGAAAATGTCAAAAATAGAAAGCTCTAATCAGAAGCAAGCAATACCACCACAGACAGGCCACAACACTGCGTTCACAGGATGCATCCCCCACTCACTGGCGTAGGCCCTAAGTCCTACCCCTAAATTTTAATACTTTCGGTTCCATATACGTTGTAACCTTCTCTATAGGTTGCTAAATTGTGGGTATTCTGCGAGGAGGTTGGGTTAAAAGTCTGTGCACTCTTTGCCACCTTCATTCTCTTCGCCTCTGCCCTGGACTTGTAACAGAACTCTATCAAAGCCACCAGCATCGCCAAGCCCAAGCCGCCAACCAGAATGTAGAAGACGCCGGCTACATTGCTCAGGCTCAAGGCACTCGTCTTGTCCTAGGGAGGATAAAGACACTTCAGTTAACTGTGGGAATGTCACACCCAAAAGGTAAAAGAACACATAAAGTCCAAGTAGCCAAGTAAATGCTTAGTTTAACTGGGGAATATTTACAGGTATAAGTCACTGATGTAGGTTTATAAATGTAAACATAAAGCTTATAGCTCTTGGGAGAAGAAAATTATAATTACCAAAAAAATTATATATAATTACACCCAATGAAATTCAAACATTTTATCATTACTAAATATATAATGAAAACCACTATACTTAACCATATGTAAGCATTCATATATTTACATAGGGAGGCAGAAGAGGGCTTATTTAGACTTTGAAAATGTCATGCTCAGAATATTGGGAAGAAAATCTTTCGACTTTACATCCTTTATAACACAATTTTTAATGTTTATATTTCTTTTGGATAGTTATCATTACACCATTTCCTAATTATAGAACTAAGGGTCTTTAAGTTACCAGTGTCACACTGTATTCATCATTAACTTGTCAAGTATGTGTAAATAATAAAGTATTACAGCATGCATCATTTATTCTTCCAGTATGTCCATAGGGAAAACCTCATGAGCAATATTAATTTTGAATTTTATATGCTACTTAGCAATAGTATATGTAATATAATATTGTGTATATAATATACAATAAATATATATTATTTAGCAATATGCATAATTTTAGATAATTTTAAAATTTAAATTTAATTTATTGTTTCTTTGAGACAGGATCTTATGTAGCCTAGGTTGGCTCACTATGGAGCTCAGGGTAGCTTGACGCTTGATCCTGCTGTCTCTGCCTCTGATGTTTTGGGATTACAAATTTATATCACTACTTCTGGCTTTTTGAAGATAATTTTCAATAAAATATATTCAGACTGAGAAGCAAATGATTTATGTATGGTCTGATTTATGATTACTTTTACTGATTGAAAATTATAATGTTTAATAGTAAATATTTTAGTCATAATATTATTCAGAGCCTCACTATATGTATTACTTTATTTTTAGACCTGGGAATAGTCAAGCAGATGATTGGAAGATATTAAAATTGTAACAATAACTAAAAAATGCCATAAACTGTTAATATGTTTATAATATATTTTGCAATAGCACTATTGCAAAAAAATTTAGGAAGACACTCTGAAAGGTGTTCTATGGCCACCCTCTGTCCCATAATACCTTGCATGCAAAATCTGGTTCAAGTTCTTTAGTAGTTATGTTAGAAGAGTATTTAATTCAAGTGATACATTTATATATTTATCTCTCTCTTTATATATGTATTTGTCTGCTTGGTCATGTTATTTTAAGGTAACATGGTGCTAAATATGTGTGTTTATCTTTCTTTACAGCAGGACACAATGTAAAAGTTTCATTATATGGCCAAGCTTGTCTCACTCCACTCTGTTTCTAAGGCAGATGAAAATGATTAACTGTGTGTAAGGTTTGAAAAGTGCCCTGTTAACCTGATTTTGTTTCCTAAAATTAATAGAAACTCTTCAAATGTTAGTCACTTGTTTCAATGTCCTAGGTTAAACACCAACTCGTTTTCTTTCTAGAATGTGATATAGAAAAATCTCAAGAAAAGGTTTAAAAAAATCTTCAAATATGACTTAGGAGCAATCATACACACATACACATGCTCCCGAGCAATGGGGTTTAAAGGCATGTGCCGCTGTTCCCCAGCCTCTCTTAAGTATATTTTATTAGTATGTGCAGGTGTGCTGAATCACTAATGAACTTGATCTTTTTTTCAATTAGAATAAACATGTAAGTTTGTACTCCCCAAACTCAGCCTCTATGTTTCTGTAAATAATTCGCAAGCAGGGATGGGAGAGGAGGTCGGTAGCTAAGAGCACTGTCTGTTTTCCATAGGATGTGGGTTCGGTTCCAGCACCCACATGGCAGCTCACAACTGTCTGTAACTCTAGTTCCAGGGTATCCACTGCTATGTTTTGGCCTCTGAGAATGCAGGAACATACATGCAAGCAAAATACCCATACACATAAAATAGAAATAAATAAATCTTTAAAAATGAATTCAAGAGCAAAAGATCTTAGAACTTATGGATATGTACTGTTAACACTGATTTTTGAAATAATTTCTATTGAGATAATGGATCTGGAAGTTCTTCTTATTGATCTGTCAAGCCAGAAATGTGACAAGCCTCTTTGAACTAAAGCAGAATGCTTGACAGTGTGGTGACATGACCCTGAATTTTGTTTAACATATTTACCTTATTTTTTTTTATGAATAACTGCTGATCAATTTTTCATTTCCTGTTTTGAGAACCAACTTTTAAAATACACATTTCATGGTCTCTTTATCAAAAACCTAACTGACAAAAATTAATGGTAAATAAGTTTGAGACTCATATAGATAATTCTGTTGTTATATATATATATATATATATATATATATAATACTTCATATATAAGAGGTAATCTTAGTTTATTTTAAATCTTTACTACTAGGGAGCAGTTTATTATCTATGGACAGTCTCTGTGGATGAAATTTATGGCATTAATTTTTAATTTAGGCAATGGCTAGATGGACAGAAAAGTTCAATGTTTAAGGATTCATAAGCTTTGGACAATTGCTCCCAGTTACTGTTTGTTTTATACACAAGAAGAGGCCCCAAACTGCAATGACTGACCTTGCTTCCCGAGTCCTTGGGTCCACATTCACCTTTATCGTACCACCATTTGTTTTTCAGCTTGTCTAAGACGCCTGCCTCACTGAGTTTCAAAACGGCAAGGTTTACAGGAGTTCTTCACGTGGAAAATAACATAAATAACATTATATATGTTATTTTATGTTATTCAAGTAAAACTACATTAGAATCGCATGGCAAAGTGACGGAGCAAAGGCCACAGTAGGCTGTATGTCTTGAACTGTAGGCCCAGGTTTAGAATCAGACATAAAACTGGGGCCTGCTCCATCGCTTTATGTAACAGGCACATACTGCTAGGGAGGATTTTTAAATAAAAATATATGCAATTACTGTGAATACAAAACTATTGGCCTGGTTGGGCTTCACAAACAGTTGTAATTTCCCCCACACATGTGGCAAGCGACTGGAACCTAGAAACATCTTACTTTTCTCCTTCATAGTGAATAGAGATGACATCAAGTTAAGTAGAAGCTACAGCCATACACTATGATTTAGCTAGTGAGTCTTACTTACTTCCTAAGAATATGTGTATGGTATCTGTCAATAAATTGACTCCATAGTAAGTTCATACAAGGAGAATACTGTCTCCAGTATTGTTGACCAAGGGACATTTTAGGTGTGAAAGGTCTTCACAAGATAAATATGCAAATTACTATTTTAAAGTATAAGCCTATACTTGCATTTTCCTTCTGAATTGAAGCATTGAGCCTAAATGACATCACTATAAGCAATCATCTGCCTTGAGTCTACTATATTAACATAATTAAAGTATATAATTAAGTGACTACAATTTAAAATTATTACAAATAAATTAATATTTTATAACAGATTTGTCTGCCATCTTTGATTCATTCAATGTTAAATGTTATGTAGAATGTCTCAGAGAGGAAGACTTTACTCAACATTGGTAGTTGAAAACACTCTAAGGATTCTGCTAGTTTTTCCTTCTCATGAGGAAGGAGGAAAGCAAAGAGAATGAGTGGACAATAGTAATTCTTGGGGTCTTGTCTTGATAAGTATTAGTGGACTGGTGGTTTTTGCTTCCTTTTGCTGGAAATGGTCTGAGTTCCTCTGGACATCTTTAAAGTTGTCACTCTTATTTTGTCTTACCGTACTGGTATCCTGTGCTTTACTTCTGAGAAATGCTAAACACATTTGACGAAACTTAGCATGCATTTACTTCCTTACCAAGAAATTAATTCCATTTATTCAGTATAAAACTGGGCAATGCATTGATATGCATGATGGTGGTAGCTGTCCTAGTTAGTATTTTGTCATCTTGACACATCTGGGAAGGGGAACCTTAACTGAGAAAATCTGCCTCCATCAGATTGCCTTTAGGCAAATTTGCAGGGCATTTGATTGAATGGTAATTGATGGGTCCAGTCTACTATAGATAGTGCCACCCTGGACAGGTGGTCCTGGGTTGTATAAAAAAGCAGACTGAGCAAGCCAGGAGATGCAAACCCTCCGTGGCCTCTGCTTCAGTTCCTGCCTCTGAGTTCCTGTCTTGGTTTCCTTTCATGGAGGATTGTGATTTAGGAGATTTAAAGATAAATGAAACTTTTTTCTTCCAAGGTGTATTTGGTCATGGTCTTTATTATAGCACTAGAAACTGAACAATTACTGTGAATAAGAAACTATTGAAAATACTTTATATCTTTATTCCTGTTACTCCCATTTAATAAATGAATATTCTAAGACAGAGAGATTTTAACTTAGCAGTTATATAGCAGGCCATTATCCAAACTTGGATTTGTAATAGTCTAGCTTCATAGCTTTTGCATTTAAAAATATAGTAAAGACTCAGAAACTAGATTTCTAGTTCATTAAAATTTCTTGTTAGGAGTTATAATAAAAACAATTTCCCCCTAATGTTAGTTCATTTTGTTCATATAGAGTCTGAATACAAATGCATGTCTTTAAATTGGTGTTATTAGCTGGGCAGTTGGGCAGTGGTGGTATACACCTTTAATCCTAGCACTCGGGAGGCAGAGGCAGGCAGATCTCTGTGAGTTGGAGGTCAGCCTAGTCTACAGAGTGAGATCCAGGATAGGCACCAAAACTACACAGAGAAACCCTGTATCGAAAAACAAAACAAAACAAACAAACAAACAAAAAAAGATTTTACTATAATGTAGGTTTATTATTCCACTGAAGAAATAATCTGTATTTTCCATGATCCTGAAGGTTTAGCTGCTTTGTGGTTAAAAATCTACAATAATTTAACCATCTATTAAAAGATTTGTTTGAGTATAGGCTTATTTGGGGTGCTAAAATAAGATCAATTGATCTAGACATTATTGTCAATAAAGCTCCATTTCTATACACAGCAAGGCTCCCCATATCCGAATTCACTCCTCTGAACTCCTTGATAATAAAGGTGTGCAACTCATCTATCTTCCTGAAGCAGTACTTACCGTAATAAGAGCTGATTCAGACTAGGTGACTTATAAAGCTGCCACAATTTAATTATTTGGAGTCAAGAGCAAGCTTTCTTCTTGGAATTGATACTATAAAGGATTTTTGTGTATTGAAATTTGTGTTACCTGGGAGATTCTTTAGTGTGTGGGGTTAAGCAATTCTCCTGCCTCAGTCTCACCATAATTGGTATTATAAAGTTTAGGCCTTCAGGTTAACTTTCCAAAGCCTAAACAAACCCAATACATGATAGGCAATTTATATTAGACTACAATGCCTTTTCTGAATGGGTTGGACTGAGAAGTGTTTGGATATTAAAAAAACAGATGAGGGATATGAAAATATTATATTTCAACTTTCTTCTAGAAGAGAAAGTTAATGGTGATATTTGTGGATTATCACTTATCACTTATTACATGTCCTTTGCTTCTTCATGTACGGTTCCCCTCTATTCCCTTTCTCTTTCCCTCACCTCTTTGTATCTTCTGCTACCCACCCCAATAGCTTGGTTTTAGAGGGTGAGAGTACACTGGCAATCCAGATATGAGATATTTGTTATTTACTGTACTTAATATTCAACCAGAAGAAGTGCACACATTAAACAAAGACTATGATACTTGATGAGCCCTTTCAAAGAAATGTGTATCTAGTGGTTTCTTGTCTATTACAGTTTTTCTGTTTCTGAATAATTTTTTTCTATGCTAGTATCTTAGTCTTGTGTTCATTTTCATGATTTTAGTATCAAGGAATAAGTGGTTTATAAGGATAAAATTTATTAAAGTCAGGAATCCCAAATGTCAAATCAGAACCCAGGAATTATGTGCTGGATTATAATTTTAGGGAATACATAATTTAAGGATTACACCTACTAAGTGATTTTTATGAACATTCACATCTATGTGTATGGTTATATGTATATTTAGGAGAATAAGGGACAAAAACCAGAAAAGATGTTTATTATGTAGCTGTTATTAGTACTATGATGCTAGGTATAGGCATTGGCAAAATCTCAAAGTCAAGACTTTTAAAACCTCATACATATATTGGCTTGTACTTAAACTAAGCCACAGTAGAATAATCAAAGGGAAAATATATTTTACACATTGTAATTCGTATTTTCATTGGCTTCTTGTCAATGAATGTAGGTTTGTTATTTCACTCACAAGGATGGGCATACATTTTTATGATGACTAAAAATAATTTTAAAGTAATATTAGCATTAGGAAAGGATTTTCAAACAAATTATTTTGCTTGAATATGATTTCTCATCTGCTGTTTTTCCTGGAAGATGAAAAATCCTTTCTTTCATAACTCTTGTTGCATTTTTATGGCCAAAGATTATGTTGGAAATGATTGTCAGATATTGATTTCTGCATAGCCATAGTCCATGACAGCAAAGGTGCAGCAGGGCCTCTGAGTGGTTCTGCTATTGATTGTCTTAAATTGTGAGTGCTTTGAGGGAAAAGAGTGAGAAATGTCTCTTTTTCTATCCAGGTGCTGACATACTGTTCAATAAAACCAGAAGTGTAATATTTGCCAGCTGAATGGAAGCTAGGGATCTGAATTATCCCATACTCCATCCAATTATAATCTTGCAAATGGCAGGTAAATCAATTGTTTCCTCATAGGAATGTTTTCATGTGTGGTACAGGCTTTGGTTATGACCCCTAAAACATCAAAATCAAATAAGCCAATTTTTGGATGGCTTGTGTGGAGATCTCTGTAGATTTGTCTTTCATGTCTGCAGTTTATACCCTTAACCAAGGCTTTAGAGCCTGCTGTCTTCTTCCATTCAGCACTTTTACTCCTTATTTTACCTCTTTTGAGGAAGATCAAGCAGAATGGTAGAGGAAAAGTAAGTTTAAAAAGATCATTAATCATCTGAAGATGATACAAGGTGACTTTTAAAGGAATAAGCACTTGGTGGTAATTTCTCTGACCTAAATTACCTCAGGGCATTAAATATCTCTTACCATTAACCATGGTAAATATCTCTTACCTTCATGCTAAGACATTATTAACTTTGAGACTTCAATAACCTTATTCTCTTGGTGACAAGCCTTTCATGTATATGGAAACTAAGCTCCTAAGGGAAAACAGAATATACTATAATTTCACTTTAAGTGAGCATTTTATGTTAAATTTTAAAATATTTTGCAAAGTTCTCTGTCAAGACTTAAAATAATGGTTTAAAACACAATTTTCTCATTCTTATTTGTGAAAACTGTGATAATATTCACTGAAAGAACAGATGTTTGCTTTTAGGAATAATAAAATTAGATATATACTTATTCTAAGACCACAAATTCTTACTCAGGTCTGTGATGTACCAGTTTCTTGAACTCAAGATGTGTAACACTGACCAAATTGTTGAATTTCTTGTTTAATTAAGTCATAATGATTTTTGTTGTGTAGATTTTCCCAACATGCACAGATTTGTATTTTGCTTATTTTTCTCTGAATAATCTTTCTTGTACCCTAAAATAGGTCTGATATTTATATTTGTAAAAAATTAATCCATAAAACATTGTTATATTTTTAAACATTTGTGATTATAAAGTCCTCAAACAGAAAATTTCTGACTCTATAACATATACATCTTAAGTTTTCTAGTACTAGTATAGTACATTTTCTGACATTTCTAGTTTTCATACAGGAATACTTTTGTCTCCATAC